GGGGAGGATGGGTTTACTAAAATGCAGTCTGATCACCCCACTCCCCCGCTGGAAATAACTTTTAATGTCCCCCACGGCCCTTGGGGTGGAGTCCAAGCTCCCAGCCTCTCTTTCCATTCTCAGCCCCTGACTGCCCACCACCATCCTCAAGCCCCACCCAGACAGTCACCTTGCTCCTCCAGGTTCAGGGGCTCACCCAGCCAGCTCAGTCCTGCAGCTCCATATGTGCCCCGCCTCTCCCAGGACCCCCTTCTCTCTTGCCTCCTGGTGAACACTGGACCTAGGAAGCACAGCTCAGAAGTCTTTCTCCCAAGGGAACTTCCTGGCCTCCCCAGGCTGAGCTAGGGACCTTTCTTCTGTCCTCCCAGAGCTCTCCATTTTTTGAACCCCAAATCACCCTGTGTTGTAACTGTCTTGAGAGCATGTTTTCCTCCTTCGTGTCTGTGTCCCCGGCCCCCAGCACAGGGACAGGCATAGGGCAGATGCTCGGGTAAGTGTTGAGTAGATGAGGGATTCAAACTGCAGTATTCCCGGAGCACCTTCTACACCCGGGAACGTGTGTTCTATGGGGCTAAAGCATGGAGGAGGCACACAGTGGCTCAGGTCTGGGAGGAAGCAGTGGGAGATTTGGGGCAGACATTTGATCTGCCAGCCTCTCGCAGGAAGGTGGGAAGGCAAGGTGAAGGGGGGTGCCCCCCCACCACCCTAATCCACAACCACACTGGGGAGAGAGGAATGCATCTCCTGGGGTCCGCAGTGACCAGGGAAGTAGGGAGGTCAGGGCCCTCCCAGGGTCCCCGTGGCCTGAGGCACCTGCCCCCTGGAAGCACGGCCGGCAGCTCCCTGCACACTATTAGAGCCTGCCGGGGTTCTACCAGGAAATCTCCAGAGGGGACTCTCACCACCCCCAAGCCCCAGCCCTGAGACTGCACTCCTCCTTCTGGCTCAGGGGCCCTATGCAGACACTCTGGAACCCCAGGGAAGGACCGTGAAGGCTGAGTAGGGAAGATGGCCTGTCATCTTTGCCGCAGAAATGCGCACGCACACACACACGCACACACACATGCACATGCACACGCAGACACAGGAATTCATGGCACAGGTTCTCCTACATACATATAGACTTATAGGCTATAATCACACACACACACCCTGCTCACCCTGAGCTGGAAGGACCTTCATAAATCTCTAATCCATCCTGCCACCCAGAGCAGAAATCCCTTCTTCATTCTCTGCTTGTTCATCTCTGAGGACAAAGAGCTCACTCCCTCCAGAGGCCACCCATCCCACTGGAGAACAGCTCGGGCTTTAGGTCCAAATGTGCCTTCCTGTCATCCCCTTTTGGTCCTGGCTCCCTTGCTGTTTCCATGGAATCCCCTGCCTCTCTCCGCCCTACAGACCCATCATCCCAGGCTACCCTGCACACCCCCAGCTGCCCCTGCGCCCACCACCTGTGCTGTGGTCCAAGCAGCCCACAGAAGATGGGAGCCCCTCATCCCGGCTCCTCTGTTCCCCATGAACACTCCAGAGTGGCATAACAGCTACAGATGGAAAGGGCCACGGAGAGCCACGCAGCCAGCCTGCCCCCCCCCCGCCGCTTCTCCCCCACCGGCCACAGCACTGGACAAGCAATAAGTAGACCTTGAGACAGCTGCTCGCTCAGCCCACTGCAGGCATCTCAGGGAACGAACCTGGACCAAGGGCTGTGCTGCTGGATTCTTTTATTAGCCAAGAAGGACAAAGAACAGATCACAACATCACAGGAAATCAGACAGACGGACGGATCACAGGACAGAGCGTCATGCTGCACTACGCAGGAGACAGGGCAGGGAGGGGGAAATTTGAGTCTTGTTTTTTTTCAACTAACAGAATAAATAAATATGGTACACAGTGTTTTTGCCATGGCCTGGCACGACCTGTAAGCACAAATGGTCACAAAACGGCTGGTGTGGAAAGCAGTCTGTCCAGCCCGCCAGCTGCGGAGTCGGGGTGGGGGCCCAGGCCCCTGGACCATGGTCTGGGGGGAGTGAAGAAGCAGGGAAACAGAGACCTCAGATAAGAGGCAGAGGTGAGGAAGGAGGCTTTCCTGGAAGGAACAGTCAGAGACAGAGGCTTGGGGTGAGGCAGCAGGCCCGGGGAAGGCCTCCATCTCAGGTGTAAGGGGCCCACCCCAAGCCCATACCCTCGGGCTCCTGTAGGAGACACGCAGTACACTCTCCTCTCGCTCTCTAGCTGCTTTCAGGAACTCAGGCTGGTCCCCTGAACTAGGTTGACATCCACCCAGGGCCGGGGATCATGCACACTCTCCCTGCCTTCTCTGGGCTGGTACAATTGGCTCAATTGAATGAGGAAGTGTTGACAAAGATCTGAGGGAAGCTGGCTGAGCCTGAGGGGGCGCCTGGCTCCAGCGAGGGGAGAACATGGCTCCAGGGTGGACTTGCCCCTTAGGAGGTCAGGGGAGGCTTCCTGGAGGAGGTGGTGAGGTCCAGAGCTGTTGGATTCCAAGGCCCACTGACAGCCACCTGCATCCAGGGACTGTGAGAAGCGTCCGTGCCCATGCCTGGTCTAGATGAAACTGTTTTCATTTCAGAAACAGATCTTCCTGGAACTGATCCCAGAAGACAAACCAAAAATCCCTTATGTCTAGAGTCTCCACACCCCTTCGGTCCTCCTGCCTAAGTCTCTTTTCTTCTGATGCTCCTGTGGCTGTTGGATTCACCTTCCAAATCCCAGATCCCAGATCCGGGTTCAACTCATCTCCCCTTCCCCCACCTGCCTGTCTTGGTGCTTGCCCCATCAGGGTGAGGTCTTTAGCCTCACCTCAAGGCCCTCAGCCCCACCTCTCATGAAACCAGGGGCCCCTGCCCCACCGTCCACCTAGTCTCACTCTATTGCCTTGTTCAAATAGATTTTCCTGGCCCAGGCTACCATCCCCCTCACTTTTTTCCCATCCAAAGCCTTCTCCATCGGCCCCAGCTCAGATAGACACCCCTCCACACCAAGGATGATGGGCATCAACTACTCCGCAAACCAATCCTACCTGGCACCAATAGACAGCCCCCTGCCCCTCAGCACTGGGAGAGGAGACACACCTTAGGAATCTGTACCCTGGTTTCCAGATGTGGTTTCTCCAAGCAGGGGGTAGAGGGTTCAGTGGTGAGCCACAAAGGGTTGGGGATCATGACTTGGAATCTGTGCAAGCCACTCCCCTCCCCTTGCCCTGAACCCCTGACACTATGTGAAGGCACGGCGATGGGGCAACCACAGAGCCTGGCACTGGAGCTCAAGAAAACCAGGATCCAATCCAGATTTTCTCAACTAGAAGGGACCCATTCTATGTATTGGGACACTGAGGTCCAGAGACTGGCCGTGCCCATGCAGAGGCTTGTACCTGCACCACTCATTGCTTCACAGCAAGGCAATGGTAATTTTCAACTCAACCATTGTACTTTTGAGAGCCTTTTTGTTGTTGTTGTTGTTGTTAGTTGAACTAAAAACTTCTGCGCTGCAAGGTCTGTGAGCACAGACATGCAGAATGTTATAGCTTGATAGCACATTACAGGCCATCTCATCCAGACCAGAAACAGGCCCGCCGCTTGGGAGGGGAAGTTGCTGAGCTGGGTTCCTCGCCATGAACAGGAGGACACCTTTCCGTGTCAGCAACTAGCTGGCCGGAAGCCCTCACTGCAACAATTGGCCCCAGGACGCACGTGAGCAGAAGCGGAGACCGCGCACTGTGGTGTGGTTTGCACTTACTGTGATCAGGAGTTAAAATTCCGCCTTCCTTCCTGGCTCAGATGCACCCCTGCGATGGACTCTAACTGCTGAACCTGGAGGCCAGGTGGTAGGAGAGGAGAACCTGCCCCTGTTCCCCTGGAGAGACCTCTCTCTGAGAGCAGCCCTCCCCCCTGCTGCCTCCCTCAGCCAGAGAAGTCTCACCAGAGAGTTCTAGAGCCCTGTGGTCAGTCCTGGCTGAACGCCAGCAGCAGGCCTCTTCCTGGAGCTCTTACGGGCAGGGATGCTGCCCTTCTACTGCCTGCCTCAGCCTGCCTCCTGCCTCCATTCCCCTCCTCCTCGAGCTCGGGAATGGGGCCTCAAGGCTGAGAAAAGAGAGAGAAGAGAACATGACCCATGACCACTTCTAAATGCCAGGCTTGAGGGAGAGCGGCGAAGGGGGCCAGCTCCAGGGGCAGCAGGGTCTCCAGCGGGGGCCTCCCACCCCCCACTGGGGATGGAAAGGAACAGCAGTCTAGAGAGGGCCCGTGCAGGGAGGAGACGGGCAGGTGGGAAGAAGCAGGAGGCGAGGGACAGGAAGAAGCAAAATTACTAAGAGTGAAAAGTCAAAATCCCAAACAAAACAAAGCCTGGGGACTGACAACACCACACAGCCAGCACCAAAGAAAGAAAGCAGGAGTGGGGAGAAGAGACGTGGGCCAAGGGCCGGAGCTGGGAAGCTGGAGGCTGGGGAGAGCAGGGTAGGCAACCAGACAGAGGCAGGTCAGGGAAGAAGAGGGCGGAGAGAGACAGAGGAGAGGCAGAGAGCCATGTGGAGGCCGGAGGTGGAGGCAAGGGCTACAGGGGGCCTGGGGCAGGTGGGTGGGGGCCTGAAAATATAGCTTTATATATTTATATTTATATATCACATTCCACACATCGACTTACTAGGAGGCAGAGGGGAGGGAGGGCGGGCAGGGAGGAGGCCGGGCTGGGGTGAGGATCTGGCCACTGAGGGCCTCACTGCCTTGCAGGAGGCCGCAGGCGCCCTGGCCTCACCTCCCCCTGCCCCATTTGGCCTCCATGGGATCCGAGCAGGGCCATGCAGAGGGTGTGCAAGTGTGGGCTTCACCTAGGACTGGGACTCGGGGAGGGGGAGAGGGAGCAGGACTCCAAGGCCCTGGGATCCCTGGGCTCATAGAGTTAACTCCTTGCAAGCCATCTGGGGGTAACCCTGGGGCTGGGAGGGGACACCCAAGACCCCTGGCTGGGTTGGAGGCCAGCAGTCAGTTGGGCAGTGTATCGAGTCCCAGAGAGGCCGCGTGCTGCTTGGCCCGAAGCCGCAGGTTCTCGATGCTCGTGGTTTTACTGTTCAGGGCAGCCGAGGCAGGTGCCAGGCCGGCGGGGGGCGCGGGCAGCAGTGGGGACCCCCACACGCCCTGGTGGGCAGCAGCGGCTGCTGACAGGGACTGGTAGTAGGACTGGCAGTGCAGTGAGCCCAGGGGGGCCATGTTAACACCCAGGTAGGGCACGGCGGCAGCGGCCGCAGCAGCAGCAGGGGCCGGGCCCCCCACTTCGAAGGATGAGTAATGTACGAGGTTGTTGGTGGCCGCCATGTGCTGGCGGAATTGCTCCTGCAGACGGAAGAGGCTCAGCGGGGAGGAGGAGTAAGAGTGGGAGGGGCCCAGGAGGCCGCCCCCGGGGGCTGCGGGAGCCAGGGTCAGGCTGCCTGGGGAATCTGCAAGCAGAGAAACCGAGAACCAAGGACTCAGGACAAGGACAATGGTCTGCCGGGGCGGGGGGGCGGGGGGCTCCCTCAGACTTCCCACCCCCTCGGCACTGCAGACAAGACAGGTATTGGCTGAAACCATACCCACTCATCTCAGCCAAGGCACCTGCTGAAGCATCCCTCAGGATCCTGGGAGGGAGGGACCCAGGCTTCCTGGAGTGGGGGGGCAGGGACCCTGCCAAGGCCCCCATGTCTGACTTCTTGGGGATACTCCTTTTCTTTTCAAGAACTGTCACCTTCCCTTCCCCTCTCCTGTCTGTGGCTCCTCCCACCCACCAGCTCTCTGCCTGGGCTCAGGATGTGTGTCTGAGATAGGCCTCGTGCCACAACTCCGTTCCTTCAAAAACGTGGTTCTGAGTCTCTGCAGCGTGTGAGAACCCCTGGTACCAATGTGGTATTCACCCAATAGGCACTGCTTTGTCTGTACTGGTTGTTAAATACCTTCATATTTCCATGATGGTTGATTAATAGCTTTTGCCCCGAGCTCCCCAAGTCCCCTCCCCTGCCACCCTCCCCAGAACCCCCAAGACCTTCTGAGGATTCAGCAACTGAAGAGTGAAGAACTGGCACAGGCCTGCTAGGGCCAACTCCCCTAACGGGCCATGCCCTAGTGCCCTATGGTAAAAGCTGACTCTCCCCGCTGCTCTGATCCACCTCACGTCCCCAGGCCCCTGTCCCACCAGATCTGGCTGTTCTCCCTGGGCTGGGCCCCCACCCACCCACCCACCCACGGCACCTGCCAAGCCTCACCTGCCTTGGGGCTGCCCCTCTTGCAGCCCAGCCCCTTGCTCTCAGCCCCAGGGCTCTTCTCAGCTTTGGGATCCTCGGCCCCTGCCCGGGGATCCTCCTCCCGGTCTGGCTGGTCCTCAGGGGCTGACTCACTGGCCGACTGCTCAGACAGGCTCAGGTGAAGCTCGGCAGGGGGGTCACCACTGGGCAGGCTTGGGGGCTGTTCAGTCTCCAGCTGGGTGTCTGGGGTTGGGGCCTCTGTCTTGCCTTCCCCGTGGGAGCCCTCGGCCTCCTTCTGCTTCTGGAGCTGCTCTTTCTGCAGGCTGCGCTGCTTCTTCCGGAACTTGGCCCTGCGGTTCTTGAACCACACCTGGGGATGGGAGAGGAGTTGTAGGACGTGGCCTGGGTGCTCTGGGAGGGGAGGCGCATGACAGCATTGCTGTCCGCACCTCCCAGGAAACATGCACCCTCCACCGCTTCCCAAACCACCCCCCACCCAGCTAGCGCTGCAGGCCTTCACGGGTAGAGCAGCTCCGCCCCACTTGGGGGCGAAAATGCCAGCTCCGCGGCAGCAGGAAGCAGACTGATGGGCTGGTGCCTGTCTGCAGGGTCTCCTCAGAGGTACGGGGCCCTACCTGCACCCGGGCCTCTGGCAGGTTGGTGCACATGGCCAGCCTCTCACGCATCACCACATCTGGGTAGTGGGTCTTCTGGAAGGTCTTTTCCAGGGCCTCGAGCTGCTGAGCGGTGAATGCCGTGCGGCTGCGGCGCTGTTTGCGGTGCTGGGAGCCATAGCGGGCCTCCAAGATGATGTCTTGAAATGTACAGCCGTTGGAGGGCAAGGAGAGGGGGCCCATTTAATTATGGGAAATGGGTTCTGAATCTTACTTTGCTCTGATCCCCCTGTGGACACCCGGGTCCTTGCAGAGCCAGGTCCTGACCCTTTCCCCTCAGAATTCACCCATGTTCTCTCCGTGTGGCTGGGGTTCCAAGATCTCCCCGCAGCCACATTCGCCATAAGGACCACAGAGCTCTGACTCATCTCCATGAACCTCTGTCAGGAATATGGTTGACAGAGTCCTCGTCTGGTTTGGCGGTGGGTGGGTAGGTAGGTGGACATTGCTCCAAGATCCTTAAAGTCCTAGGATGCTATGAGTATAATATTCTAAGACCACATGACGCTAATAATCTGTACATCAGTGTCACAAAGGTTCTAACATCCCATGATCCTTCGATTCTGGGTACCGGCAGAATACTGGCCCCTGGCTATGCGGAGCCAGGCTGGCAGCTGGGACATATCTGCAAGGTCTAGTTAGGGGAGGTCTAACGGGTAGCCCTAATTCACTGGTACTTGATTCTATGTCGTCTGGGTATGACTCTCATTACCCCAGTTGTTCTATGCGTCTCTGACGGCAGGACCTGAGGCTCCTGCTCTCATGTCTCCTCAACAGAAAACCTGGCTCCGGCAGGACCCTCAGAGCACAGGAAAGTTTTTGCATCTAGTCTTGACCCCTTTGGCTCCTTCCTCAAAGGAGGACAAAAAAACTAAGTTCTAAACACCACAGGTTTTGGAGCAGAGACAGAGCTGGTGGACCACTGCTTCTATGGTCCTGCTTGCACATTGGTAACATGAAGACAACTCAGGGGGCGCCTGGGTGCCTCAGTCAGTTAAGCATCTGCCTTCGGCTCAGGTCATGATCTCAGGGTCCCGGGATCAAGCCCCATTTCGGGCTCCCAGCTCAACGGGGAGCCTGCTTCTCCTTCTGCCTGTGCCCCTACCCCCACTCATGCTCTCTCTCTCTCTCTCTCTCTCTCTCTCTCTCTCTCAAATAAATAAATAAATAAATAAATAAATAAATAAATAAAATCTTTAAAAGGAAGAAGAAGAAAGAAAACAATTCAGGATAGAGGTCTGCCCAGGGCTGGTGTCTAGGATCTAGCCCTTCTGCCTCATTAGACTCCGGTGGATGGACAGTAACCTCTCTCCCCTGCCTCCCATAGCTGACAAATGGATCCTGGGCTGTCTACATTGAAGAGAACCTGAGCTGTGTCAGGCTCTGATAGGATTGCCAGGGTCCTTCCTCTGTACTCCAGGTACTGGGGAGACATCCACAACCCCCTAAATGAGGAAGGATGCAACTGGGTTTCCAGAAAGGCTCAGACTTTGGGTTGCTCTTTCAGCTTCAAGAGGGAGCCCTGAACCTCTCACAAATTGGCACTAATCCCAGCCTGGACTGAGCTCCTGTTGGTTACCTGGGGACTGGGGACCCCTCAGTCAGCTGAACCTTGGTTGAGGGAGCAAGAGTTCAGCATCCTGCTACCGGCTCCAGGGACCAAAATGGTGGGTGATCACAGGGGAGGCCAGGCTGTCTGCCCCTCAGCAGAACTTTCTACCAGAAGGTGAGGCCTCTAAACAAAGGCCCACCTGGAGCTCATGTCCCTCCTTCTTGAGAACTGGAGAATTGGGGTAGAGTGCTAACTATTCCAGGTCTTCTGCCCCCACCAGCGGAGGGGAGCCCCTGTCCCCAGTTCCTCTCTGGGTCTAGCACACAGTGAGAAGCCGGTGTCTCCACCAGGTTGGACATAGGGAATTTACTGCCAACCAGGGAAGTACCCAGTCAGGACAGGACCGTACCCACATCCCACACTGGAGACTCATGTCCCACGCTGATCTAGAGAAGGTAACCAGGGGCTCCGTTTTATCCACTGAGCCCTGCCCCAAGGCCTGGCAGGGTCTCGAGGAGTGGAAATGGCCGCCTCATGCTCCCTTCCAGGCCCGCACCTCTTCCCCAGCAGGGTCCTCATATCTCTCATCCCTTTTCTGTGCCTTTGCTCATGCGCCCCCCTCACCGACGGCGTGGCTCCCGCCCCACAGCCTGCAGGAAGTCCTCTCTGACTACACCAGCCCCACTGCTCTGAGCTGCCCCACCAAACGACCCTCGCCACACTCCTGCCATGCTCTCCTAGGTGTCTAGGAGCACCGATCCCCCAGGTGCTCTCAAGCCCTCTGAGTACTGCCTGGCACAGGGCTAGGCCCACGTGGACTCACCAGCTGCTCAGGGTTTGACCTGGGACAGGAGAGAGTGGGTGGCACCCCCTCCCAGGAATCATGCCCCTCGCCTATGCTGTCAAGTCCTTCTCACGCCCAGTGAGAGGCTGCAGGGCAGGGGGCAACGTTCCATTGAAGGTGGAGGGAGACACAAGCCTGCAGCTCCCTTGTGGCCACTTACCTTGGGACTTGAGTAATAATGACTTCTGAGCACATCCCAGTCTCTGCCGAATACCTTGCATACCTTACCTCAAATAACTTCCCAGCCAGCCTATTGTCCCCTCTTTGTAAGGGGAGACCCAGGCTCAGAGAGGAGAGGTGAATGGGCAGATCTGCAGTGACCACAGATCCGGGACTTCAAAGCTCTATTTTTAGCCATCACGTCATGTTCAATGCCCCCAGCCCCGCCCCCACCTAGATATAACCTCTCTGAGCCTCAGTCTCCTGGTCCATAAAATGGAGGTAATAACCTCTCTTCCTCGGCCTTGAATACTGTGATGCACACAGAAAGCCTCACACAGCCCCTGGCACATCATCGGCATTCAAAACACGGGAGCTGTTATTCTTTATGTGCCTTCCTGCGCCTGAAGTATCCTCCCTGGGCACTCCAGCCCTCTTCTGGCTACTTCCCAGCTACAATCCTCGAGGCTACTCCCTTACCCTCCTACCTCAGCCTTCGTCTGTGAGATGGGCTAATGCGTCCCCCCACCACCATAGGGCTGTTAAAGGAATCTGAAGCCTTGGGGCGGCTCCAGTGCCCAGCACAGCGCCGGCTAACAAGGAGTGCTCTAGATGGTCATACATAGATTTTGAATCGACACCTCTCTGTGCTGCTGAGTGACCTGGGACTTCCAGGGCCTCCTAAAGTAAACTTTCCCAGTGCTCCCTCCCTCCCTCCTACTGGGGGACTTCCAGAGCCTCCCCACCCAGACCTCTCCTCCACCCCCCACCATTCTGTCCCCCAGGGTCCCATCCCCACGGCCCTTACCAGCCAAGCGCTCAGCCAGGGTAAGTGCATGCACCGAGGGCCGGTAGTCCGGGGCGTGCTGGGCCTGCTGGGCCGCCTGCTGGTGCAGGTTGTACATGGCACTGAGAGAGTTCATTGCGTGCAGCGAGTAGCCGTTCACCCCGTAGTGCTGCATCGCGGCATGCGCCTGCCGACGGGGAAGGAGGAGAAGGGGACATGAAACAGGGTATCGCACTCTGCCCTGGGGAAGACACCAGCCCCAGCCCAGACCTGGGACGCCCGCCTCAGCCCCAAGGGCTTCTGCCCTTCCATCGGAAAGCACCCCATGCTCTGGGGTCAGACTGCGTGGGCCGGAATCTTAACTCTGCCACTCAGGAGCTTTGTGACTTTGGACAAGTCACTTCACTTCTCTGACCCTCAGTTTCTCCCTCTTCAAAATGGGGCTAATCATAGAACTTATCACACGGGTTTGTTGCAAGAATTAAGAGGAGCATTTACCATAGGGCCTGGCACATAGCGTGTGCTAAAAAATGTCAGTCATTGTGATTTATCAGCCCTGTTGCTTCTTTCCGAAGCCATGTCTCCACTTAGTCACCCAGGCGCTGTCTTATTTGTACCTTCATTGATTCACTCACACACTTACTATTCATTCAACCATTGAGGCCCACATGGGGCCAAGTCCAGGGCTGGACTGGGGACACTGAGGCGTTTGACGAGATCATGGATTAAGACCTTCATGTGCTGCACAGACGTAAGAACCTATCGTTATGACTGTTACCTATTCACTACCATCACCTCCCTCTATTTACCATTTCCCCAAGAGCAACCAACCCCATTTACAGATGGGTCTACTGAGGCTTAGAGAAAGAGCAGGGACATGTGGAGGCCACATAGCCAATCCAGGGCCCAGCCCACCCACGCTGCTTCAGCCTCATTCTTTGGTGGTCAAGTTATCATCCTTCCTACTGAGAACGCCCAGCTCAGCATGAGGTCCTATCAGCCCCAGGTCTCCTCTGGACCCTCACGGTCCTCATCTGACCACCCACCCTGTGTCACCCTGAAACGGCATTTTTAAAATGTGCTCCAATGTCTGCAGGCTCCAAAAGACACACAGGTGCTTCCTGTTTCCTGGGTGTGGGAGGGAAAGGGGGAGGGTTGCAGCAATGGCAGGTCCATTTGGTAAGAGGAAGAACTTGCCCAGGTGTCTCAGCTCCCCGCCCTCACAGAAGTAGACGCTCGGGCTACACACAACCAATCATCCTCAGCATGCACCCGCAAGCGCGCGCGCGCACACACACACACACACACACGTTTCACGCACAAATACACATACATGGACATTCTCAGCAAGGCACTCACAGATGCAGTCATATTCACATACAAACTCAGCAATATTTACAAATTCAGTGTCATTATTCTGGTGGTTCTGCACACATACTCACAGATATCTATCCATGCAGCAGATATATCTACACACAAACATTACACTCTCACACATTTATATATTACACATATTTATTCAATAAATATGTATTAAGCACCCACCTACTAAGTACCAAAGTCCTTGCCTTCATGGAATTTACATTCCAAGGGAGAACTACAAACAACAAATAAATATATGTAATAATGTCAGACAGGAACAAGTGCTCTGAAGAAAACAAGACAGAGGAGGAAAATAACAAGAGGCAAAGGGAAGATTATTTGAGAATATGTGGTCAGGAAAGGGCTCTCTGCTATTTGAAGTGAGCCATGCAAAGTTCTGGGGGGAAGGCTTTCCAGGCAGAAGGAACAGCAAGGACAAAGGCCCTGAGGCATGAAGAAGCTTGGTGTGTATGTGGAACAGCAAGAAAGCCAGGGCAGCTGGAGCCCAGAGAGGGACAGAGCAAGTGAAGGGGATGGGGCTGGAGGGAGAGGAGAGGCCAGACCCCAGAGAGTTTCACGGGACAATTGTAGGAGTTTGAATTTTATCCCCACCGTGATGGGAGACTCCTGGAGGGTCTTGAATAAAGAGTAACATGATACAATTTGTCATGAAAAGCTCATTTTGGCTACAGAGAACAGACTGCAGAGGGTGAAGAAGAAAAGCGGAGAGACCAGGTCACCACAGAAGGCCAGGCCAGCAACCGAGGTGCCTTCTGCTAGGCAGTAGGGGTGGAGGTGGTGAGAAGTGGTCAGATTCACGACGTATTTTGAAGACTCGACATGACTGCTGATAGATTAGCTGTAAGATGTGGGGAAAAGAGGTCAAAAAAGGATGACTCGGGGTGCCTGGCTGGCTTAGTCGGCAGAGCATGCGACTCATCATCTCAGGGTTGTGAGTTCAAGCCCCGAGTCCGGGTCCCTGCTCAGCAGGGAGTCTGCTTCTCCCTCTCCCTCAGCCCCTCCTCCCTGCTCATGCTCTCTCTCTCTCTCAAATAAATAAATAAAAATCTCTTTTAAAATAAAAAAAAAAAAGATGACTCAAATTTTTGACCTAAGCAACTGAGTGAAGATGGATCTTTTCGTGAATCAGGAGCATTGAGGGAGAAGGGGTTCTGGGGAAGAAGCAATAGAAATCAAGGTTTTGGGGGGACAGGTTAAGTGTGAAATATGGATCTGACGTCCAAGTAAGGGTGTTGAATTGGCAGTTGGATATACAAGTCAGGAGCTGAGGGCTGGATTTATAGATTTCTGAGTCAACACTCACACATAACAACTACCAACATTTACTTACAGAGGCCCACTCTGTGCACTATAAACATGACCTCAAGGGCAGAGATCTAAGAGAAAAGGATAGACATGGCGACATAGTGTTTAAACACTGTAGAAGAGAATATACCAGGGGCGCCTGGGTCGCTCAGTCGTTAAGCGTCTGCCTTCAGCTTAGGTCATGATCCCAGGGTCCTGGGATCGAGCCCTGTGTTGGGCTCCTGGCTCCGCAGGAAGCCTGCTTCTCCCTCTCCCACTCCCCCTGCTTGTGTTCTCTCTCTTGCTGTCTCTCTCTCTCTGTCAAATAAATAAATAAAATCTTTTAAAAAAAGAATAGAATATACCATAAACAAAGCTAAAAGGCAAACAACAAACCTGGAAAAATCTTTACCATATATATGATAGAGCAAAATTGATTTAAAAAAATAGCACAAATAAAAATAAGAGAATATCCATAATATATAAAGAGCTCTTCTCTAGAAACAAAAAGATGGTCACCTTAATAAAAGACAGTGAAGTAACTGAAGAGACAGCTTATTAGGAAAAACACAAATAGCCATCTGACCTATGACAAAAAGCTCAGCCTTCCTTGTAACCAAAGAAATAAAAATAGAAACAATAAGATACAATTTTTTCACCAATCAGATTAGCAAATACGAAAAAAAGTTATTACCCAGGGTTATCTAGAGGAGTGGGAAATGGTCCTTCCCCTACTTCGCTGACAAAAGAGCTTTAGTCCCTGCATTGGAAGCCATTAGAAAGAGCATCATTTGACACAACAATTCCATTTCCAGAAACATATCCTTCAAATATGCAGAGCTGTGTGTACAGGAATGTTTATCACAGCTCTGCTTATGATGGCAAACAACTGGAAACCTCACTGTCCATCGAGAGAGGTTAGTTCAGCAAATGAGGGGACAGTCATGCCCGCGATGGAATACCGTGCCACAGTTTGAAACAATGATGTGTATCTGTACGTGCTGATGCTCACAATATATTGTTGAGTGGAAGAAATAGGTAACAGTATGCATGATATGATCCCATTTTTGTAATGTATGTATAAATATGCATAGAAAAGAAGTCTGGAAGGTTATACCCTGAAATGTTAACAGAGGTTATCTCTGGGAGATAGCAGATGGGATTACTGATGATTTTCACATTTATATCTTTTCTTTCTTTCCTTTTTTGAGGGTGGGGAAGGGGAGGGTTACCCAGGTGTTCTAGTGGATGTGGGGATGGAGCCAGGCCCCAAAAGGTGTCACAAGCTCCAGGTGGGGAAGAGGAAACAGAGTTTAGAAGTAATTTTATCCATCCCCTTCCCCCACCCCTGTGGGGCTTTGTTGCTTTAATACTCATTGCTGTTGATGTGGTGGAATTTTAATTGACTTAATTATTGCTGATCTCACAGTTTTCGATGCACGATAAGTCTTTATTAACTAAAGCCAAGGGAGGTACCGCTCTTGGTGCCACAACTGCCCCAGCTCACTGGTCCTCCAAAGGTCTCCAAGACCTTCCCAGTCTGGCCTCTGCCCGCCCCTCCAGCCCGATGCCCTCCCTCCCCTCAGCACCCAGGAATCTCGGATTACCTGCCATTCCCTCTTGTCACCTCCATGCCTTTGCTGCTGCTGGGCCCTCCCCCCTTCACCTGCCAAATTCCTCCTTCTCCATCAAGGCCTAGTTCAATTGACACCTCCTCAGAAATAGAGCCTTTCCCAATTCGTCCCTAAGAAGGCATCTCTCCCCTCTCCAGGCCCCAGAGAGCTAAGCTCAGGTCATAGAAATGATGATGCCAACAACAAGAAAACAACAGCAACAGCGTCTGATTCCTGAACACACTCTGAGCCCTGGCTCACCACACAAAAGACCTTCCATGGAATTTCTTAACCCTAGCACCTGAATCAGACTTGTGTGATGACACTTCTACCTCCCCCACTAGACCGAGCTCCTTGAGGGTAAAAGGTGTATCTCATGCATTTCTAGACTCCCCACTGCAGCCCAGATCACAGCCCAGATCACAAGATCAGAGGCAGGGCTCAGGAGATGAGGATCAGATGAATAAATTAATAAAAACAACTCTGTATGAAGTGCCTCAGATACATCAGCCATCTCCACCCATCCTCCCAACACCATAGGAGGTAGGGACTGTGTTTATCAGACGCACAAGTGGAAGGTGAGAAAGACTGATCAATTTGTTAAAGGGCAAGTAGCTAGGAAGTGCTGGAACAGGTTTCCACAGTGAGGTTCTTCCCAGCAACTCATGTTTCCTAACCCCAGTCACGCAGGCTCTTATTCCAGCATGTTCCATTCCCTGACTTCCAGCATCTCTGATTTGATCCAAGGCAACAGGACGACAGCAAAGAAATAGCACACACATTTCCCCGGTGTGCACGCTGTGCATGCACGTGTGTGTCGTGAGATGAGGTTGTGTGTGAGCCCAAATCTTCCCAGCCGAGCTCCCCTCTCCCCAGCCTCACACTCCTCTTCCTC